TCTTACGTAAGATGTTATGTCACACTCTCCACCCTGAAAACCTCATATTTTAACGGAGGAAGGTAAAAATCGTACATGCTACATGGGACAAAAATACGTATTTGACTTCCAAGCCGAAGGTAAGGAAGGCAATTACACACCAGGAAGTAAATACCGTGATTATGTTTCTTATAGCGTAATACACTTTTTGAGATTTTATTAAAGTCACTGGGTCACAACAGTTTATTATCTTCAGCTAGAGGCCGATCACAGCATCTTGGTTATCTGGTGTAATTTCCCTATACTTATTTTTCTCAAACCTGGACGAATGTAGCATCTCTTTATTGGAATATTTATTGGAAATTAAATAAAAACCAGTGGACAGTGAGTATATGGGTACCTAGGTATAAAATTATACTTCTATGAAATTTTATAGCACATAATATACGAATATAAATATACCTTCTACAAAATGATATTGTGTACGAAAGTAGTGCAATTATCGTTGAAATGAATATATATACTTTAATTGAGTGTGATTTCAACAAATATTCTATTATTTAATAAATGCACAGTTATGAACAATACATATATTAAGTAGGTAAGAAAGTTCAAATAAAAGCCATGGTACGACACGACATGATGCCAGGGTGGCCAGTACAAAATGGTACGATTTTATCATACATCATACATATGTTTTTTTGATAAATATTATTCAAACATCTAATAGGCATTCAAAATAGTATAAAAGATACCCATAAAAAGTTTCAGATCATTTAACTGTATCCTTTTTTTAATATGCTTACTTTTAAAATTCTCAATTTCACATATAGTATTATGAATGAATCGTGTAAAACTGTATTTATATGATCTGTAGAAATCACTGATTTTTTTTTGTATGAAAGATTACTTTTGGATACCCGTATTATATTTTCAAACAGATCTACAAGTTTTTTTTTTATAAAACAAGAAAGAAGGGCTTGCATGTGCGTAAGAACATGTCTGTAAGTATATCCCTATAAGAATAGGTACCACAATTGCTACATATTTGCGCTCTTCCCACCTCTCTCAACTTTCACTCTACTATCATTGATAAACGGCTCTAACTCAAAAAATTACTTTAGCCACGAATGAAAAGATTGGGAAGAAATAAAATCGCAATAAAAATCAATTAATATATTCATAGAACCTTGTATGAATNGAGAAGTGCCAATTTTTGAGTGGCTAAACTTGAGCAGCTCCAGTAAATTTGATCTTTGGCTATTGTCTTTTCCTCAATATTCTTCCCCGGCAAGCTTTTCTGCATCATCTTCGAGTCTGCGCATGACCAAGGTTTGCTACTCGTAATGAAAGGGTCCGGAGTCCGGAGACTCTGAAAATACAAAGTTGCCTATCACCCTTTGATCTGTGGACTAGGTAGTAAGAGTCTATCTCTACTAACTTTTTAAATTCGTTTATTGCAAAATTGATATATTAATCGATATAAATTATTATGTAACAAAAATAATTACTTAATAGAAAATGAATATTTACATTAAAAATAACTTATTGCACACTGGAGGAACAACGGTAATGTGGGACTCAGTAGATTTTCTTATTAGACTACTAATATTCAGGTCTCCCCCCCATGCTGCGTAGCTTTAGTTCCCCACCGGAATAGCGTTAGCGTTTCTCCAGGGTGGAGTCATCACGGAGAACATCGTATCTCACAGCATTAGCGAGAAAACTCGCCACCAGTTGCTAGAGGTGCCAATCCTCTCAAGTTCTGAAAAAGACTCGGGGTCCCTGAGAACCGGTACCCGGCATCTAGCGCTTCTTCGTAGGCTGCAATCTTTGCAAGTGCCACTAAATGCTTGGTGCTTACCCTTGTTTATAAGTTAGAAAGCTCAGAGCAGCGTGGGATAGCATAATTTCGTCAGGAAGTTGCCTCAATTTCCTCCCTCTTTTTCTCCTTAAGAACTGTTCAGGCAAACCCGTCAACAGCCCTCCAAGCGCTTGTGCTTCTTAACATGACGCCGACAATGTTTTCAGGCGTTAAAGCCCTACCCAGACGGTCTTCTAGCTGCTGCCACTGCTTGTACCACTTTCCACACTGAAAACAGTGTGCTCTACTGTATCGTTCACCCCAGGGCAATAATCACAACTAGGTGTTGGTCTTAGAGCCATGCAGTAAAGATGTGCGTTAAACTGTTCATGGTCTGAGAAAAACTGTTTGAGGTAACAGTTCACCTCACCGTGGCCACGACAAAGCCATAGACTCAGGACTGGTATGAGTCGGTGAGTCCACCTGCTCATATCAGCCTCATTCCGCTCTTGCAGCTAGCATTGCAAGCTATTCTCCCTATGAGCGTTGTCCGACTTGATTCGACCTGCCAGAAATTTTTCTCTGCACTCCTGATGACTAAAAAGACAATAGGCATGGTTCTCGTGAGCACTATTACTGCGGCCAAAGATACCGTGCAGCACTCATAGATGACTCGCAGGGCCCCAAACTGCTGCACAGATGCTAAGTGGTTTCAGGACCATGCCATTGCCAACGCATCTTTCCAGACCTCTATGCCATACAACACGAAGGAGTTCGACGCTAAGGCAAGTATCCTTTTTTTGAAGTCTCGTGGCCCATTAATATTCGGCATTAGTCATTAGAGATTCTGTCACCTTAAAGGCCTTCTCCGCAGTTCTCCTAATATGTTCCCCACATCTCACGGAACCAGCCACATGGTGCAGGTGGAGTGTTAGAATCATGTCCCAGCATAGGTAGCAACTAACTCCTTTTTTGGGCAAGTCCTAGCCTGATTGCCACTTTTATCGCACCTCTAATATGCTCCAGTCCTTCCAGTGCCCTTGCAGTTACTTGCAAGACGCCTAAAGCCTAGGCATCTAAAGAAGCGTTCTATCCTACTTTTTGCAGGCCCAACCTGCAATTAACCCAGCCTATTTCTGTATGGAATGTTTTATCAAAGCCAGAAGTCAAAGCCGAGAACGTGTTTACCCATGCAACACGATTTGCTCTTGGTGCCGAATGACGGGCGGACTTCTACGTACTCCACCTTATCTATAAAAAGAGCTTTTTTCTTTGGTGACTGTCGTGTCTATGTCTCTTGTTCGTGGCTATGATTACTATTATTATACTATTATATCTATAAGTAAGAGCGAATATAATCGTTAGAAGGTGCGTGCTATGCTACGCGGAAATAAGTGAGATGGACGGTGTTAATTGATTTCGCTCGATCGAGCACGTGGTTCCAGGTGTATGCATACACAACATGTTGATATCATCGAGTTGGATTTTTATTTCAATCAATACTTTTTTCTATCGTACATTTCTGCGCGTTTGTTTCAATACCCACACACACACACATCATGAAGAATAAATATAAAACGACGTCAATTGTCCGACGAGGATTTTTGATAGGAACTCAATCAGTACAGAGTTTTTCGATTACAGTCTCTCGCTGATAACTTTTGCAGCTACGGACGCAAGGACACATTTTGTGCGAATCCTCGTATATATATATATATATATATATGCGCATNGGATATGAGAAGTGCCAATTTTTGAGTGGCTAAACTTGAGCAGCTCCAGTAAATTTGATCTTTGGCTATTGTCTTTTCCTCAATATTCTTCCCCGGCAAGCTTTTCTGCATCATCTTCGAGTCTGCGCATGACCAAGGTTTGCTACTCGTAATGAAAGGGTCCGGAGTCCGGAGACTCTGAAAATACAAAGTTGCCTATCACCCTTTGATCTGTGGACTAGGTAGTAAGAGTCTATCTCTACTAACTCACGGCTCATCACGAGACGAGTTTTTTAAATTTTCCTCGAACGGTCGACTAGGTAGTAAGAGTTCGTCTCTGCTATCTCACGGTCCTCCACGAGTAAATTTTATTTTGTCGTAATGGAGATGCAGTAAGTAGAGTCCGCTTCTACCACCACATATGAGTACAATTTATATATCACTTTAGAGTTCTAAATAAAAGTAAGTTGTTTGGGTAATTTTTACTTTCTAGCTTTTCCTTTTTTTCCTAGTACATACGCGTTCATAAGTCTGAGGTATGCGCTGCTACTTAAAGTGGTAGTGATACCCTCTAGGTCTTTCACAAGTAAATACTAAACTAGTTTTGACACAAACTCTGAGGTACGCACCGCAACTGAGAGTGGTAGTAGTAACCTCGAGATCGTGAATTAAAATATACCACGTTTTTTATGGTAACGCTATAGTGTGCCACACTGCTTCGAATATTATTGGTAACTCCAGACGCATTGCGAGTATTTAAATATACCCTAAATTATATGTCTACGTAAGGACTAGAGTGTGCACCACCTCTTTAAATAGTTGTGGTTACTCTAAAAGGTTAAAAATCCTTGCTTCCCCGATTACAGGTATTTTTGCCCCTTCACTCAACGGCCAAGTTAACATACTAGTAAGAAAAAACTTTTTCACGAGATATTCATAGTTTCTTAGCCCCGTGTCTCTCCTACTCGCTTCGTGTAAATCCCAGGTTATTAAACACAAGCTTGGACCCAAATAATAGGTTACGCTGACGAACCACGCAATAACCTCATAATAAGAAGTAACTAAATTTCATACATTCAGACCGCTCATAGCAGAGTGGGTACACTCTAAATGCAAGCGTATTTAGGTACACGTTTAAAGTGTAAAGTTAAAATTTTTATTTTTTATAAAGCATATTGTGGTGGCGTGGAAAGAGTACTGGGAACGGAAGGAGTACAATGAAATATCTACTCTTATAACACATTTTCTCAAGGTCAGAATGTTGGTGACGTTGATTGAATCTAGCGCATAACGTGTCTATAGAAGTATAACTTTAAAAATGAAATCCTGTAGTTGATTCATTCATACTCACTCTTTTTAAGTATTTATACAAATAGTTTAGTCTGACTTTGGTGATATATATAGGGCCGCTTACTGGCCATTCTGTAAAATAAATAATTATTNTATATATATATATTGATACATTCCAAATATTGTTTCCTTAATTTTTGTTTTATGTATTGCAGAATGAAAACCGTGCTCTGCGTTTGAAAGAGACAGCACTTGGTCTCTCTTTTGGAAGTTCAGCTAGTTACACAGATCCAGACGGTACTGCAGTTATTACATCAGAACTTTTGCCCGCTATAACAGTTGATCCACGAGTTACATGGAATTACTTTGACGAGCAAGGGTAAGGTTAATCATTTTGCTCCAGCAAATGCAAAACTTTTTATTTTTCATAGTTAAAATTTTAGTTTTGTAAATACTCTTCAGTAAATAATACGTTCAGATAGAAAAAAATATATAACATTTTTTTGTTTACGTATCATCCAACTGATTCATGTATCATTAACTAAGGTAGTTTCTAGATTATCAGTGATTTTATAGTGATATCTTTAAAACATTTGATGATGAATGGTCAATCGTTTTGTTCAATGTCATATTTAAGCTCCGAAGTAGATTAAAACTTATAACTACACAATTTTTTAATTTTTAAATAAAAATTTCGAATTATAGGTACATTTCAAGAGGAAGTTTGGGAGCTGGGGAAGATCCATACGCTAGAAACAAGTTTAACCAAGAAGCTTCAGATAGTCTTCCAAGTAATCGTGATATTCCTGATACGCGTAATACTATGTAAGTTTCATCATACCTGTAATAAATTTTTTAAACTTCTACTTAATTAAGGTGACTGCGCCGTTTAGTGTCGTATGAATCTCAAGACCCAAGAAGAGTAACAATATTTTTAAACTAATTTGCCACTTATATTTAAAACACCTATTTTTTTTTGCTAGATCTAAAATCAAGTGAGATGAAATTGCATATAAAAAATATAAATTATTTACCGAAAAAATACAAACTTTTCTATATTATTTATGCTTGCACAGAAGATGGCAAATCACTTCTTTATAAATTTTTACTAACAATAAGTCTGACTAGCAAACAAATTATTTTTTAAGGTTCCAACAAAATCAGTAGAAATAGAGCCATAAGTACATCTCGTATTCACAAAAACTCAATACTTTACTCTGAGTTATAGACAAATTTTAAGTCAAGTCTTAGACAGTATGATGAAATAAAAATTTTACAGACGGCATTTCATCAAAAATAGGGTTATCAACCATGCCTTTTTATCTTTGCTATTGAATCCAGGACACTTAAGTAACAATACAGATAATTTTATTATTACGTCAGCAGTTGGATAAGAAACGTCTTAGCCACCTTGAGGTTGGTTGAAAGTTTTTTAACGGATAATTACAGAAAGTAGCTCTCCTAGCTCCGCATAGAAGTACTCCTGGGAGTGGCAGACCTACACTAACACAACCTATAAATTTAAAAATATATTTACCATTTCATTTTCCAACTTCATAAAGAGTGTGGCACGATCAGATATTTAAAATAGAAATGAAGATCCTTTATTGAATCATCAAAATCGAATAAAAATATAAACTTAAAAAGGTATGGGAATACTAGAATATTTAATAAATGTTGTTTGATTAGTTATTACAGCTAGTTAATAAGAATAAAAAAAAGTAAAAATTTTTTAGTAATATCAAATTGATTACATAATTATTATTATTATGATAATCAATATTAAAACACAAATAAGTGAAAATAAAACGATTACAACTCTCTTAATGTCATAAAATCGTAGTGAGGAGGCTCCAATGCCTCACCATATCTATAATTTTCGGGTACGAAGTTATGTTCAACTCTTACTCAAAAAAAACTCAACGAATCAACTCTAGACAATATACAGACATTTCTGTGATCGTCTTATTTCTTGCAGTTTTTGTGCCAAAGTGGTAGTTGGATGATGTTTTCAAACAAAAATATAATCTAAAATTTCAAACTTTTATCGATTGAAGATGGAAGATTAAAGTTTTTTCTATATAGTATTTTCTGTATGTAGCTAATTTTCTCTCACTGTTTATCAAAAAATCAGGAGTTCGAAGAAGTATCACATTGTAAGCGATACGTGATATTGAAACTTGGGAGACTTTCTGAATGAATTAAGGCTACAAAGACCCAAGGTATAGCCAACTTTTAAGGGTGCTATAAACAATTATGTCAGCAAAAAGCAATTGAATAAAAAAATAAAAAATTTTTCTTTGTAACATTCTGATGTTAAATTTCTTACACTTGTTGTAAAACTAAGAATACATAATGTAATATTCATTAATTTCAGATTTTTGAACCGTAACACGTTTTGATTGACCGAGATTTTTATTTTTTGTTATAATTTTTTTTAAATCACTATCTAACCTGCAAACATTGAACAGAAACTATAAGTTTCTTAAAACTAATTTTTATGAATACTCTAGAAGCCTTTTTCATAAAAGTAATTTAGGTTTGGTGCATAATATCTGTCTTCGTGAACTCTTTTTGGTGACTTTTCTAATAATTTGTCCCCTTGACGAAGTGTGCGAGATATGCGGACCCACCAAAGTTTTTTTCGAGTATTTACGCCTCCTGAACACGATTATCCACGATTATCGACGGTGGGTCACGATCCGCATGGACAATTCTTCTTTATTAACAAATTTTAAAAACAAATATTAATTTTTGATTTATTGCGTATAAAAATTTTTTTCTAACTCTTCAGCGTATTTTTAACAAAAAAGTTTATATACAGTACATACCTAAATCCAATACTATTCTCGTAAAAAGTTCGAGAACTTCAAAAAAATGCGTTTTTCGCTATTTTTAATGGCTTGCTATGGGAAGCCCAATATATATTTTTACACTCAACGCCTCTCAAATTGTGTGCCCAACATAGTATTAAATTAATATTAAAAGATCAATTGATTTTATTTTGTTGGTTTTATCCAGCGAGGTCAACGGTCCGTGCCTTTTTAATTTAACCGTACGGCCAAGGCGCTATACATATATTATTATGCTGTCATTGAATGTTTTCTATCTGGACAGCTCTATTCAGATTATTTTTTTATGTTTCACCTGCTAAATACTATTATAGATTGTGGGTCGTGATACCGAAGGTGATCAATGTTTTGTAATTAACAAATTTTATAAACAAATTGCAAAAATGGGGAGTTTTTCAAAAAAATTTTTTTTGCTTCTCGAACTTAATTTAAACAAAAAAATTTGTACAATGTATATCTGTTAACCCCATATTCTTTCCGCGAAAAAATCGTGAATCTTAAAAAATGCACTTTCTCCGTTTCTCACGCAGCTGCAACGTAAGGCTATTATTATGATTTCTTACAAAAAAAATTTGTATTCTTCAACTCATGGTGGTATATCTATAACTGAGTAATTGGTTTAATTTGGTTGGAATAAAAACAGTAAACGAATTTAATAAGTAAACGATATGATCTTTATCCCCAGCGTAAAAGAAAAAATTAAAAAAAGGAGCAAAAAAATTTTTTTTGAAAAACTCCCCATTTTTGCAATTTGTTTATAAAATTTGTTAATTACAAAACATTGATCACCTTCGGTATCACGACCCACAATCTATAATAGTATTTAGCAGGT